TATCGTTGTCTGTCAGTATCATCTGGCTGACCGAAATACTGGAACAGCTTATCCAGCTCGTTGATCGTGTACTGGGCAGTCCTACTTCGCATCAGGATCATATCGGGACGCCTGGAAAAAGGGTCCACCATAACAACATAGGATTGACCAGCGATTGGTCCTGCATACTCTAAATGGATTCCGTGCCATGGCTTCTCCGCTTTGACCCAATGTTTCCAGGGCACTTGGGAATGGCCTTCGTCGCCAGATGACAGGCTTCACATTTTTGGCAGAATTGCTCGATTTCTGTACCCATTCCGGGCCAATAAACAAGACTGCGTGCGGAGGCTTTAATGCGGTTAGTACCTGGCTGCCAGGTATGCAACTGCTGTGAGACTTGTTTGTTCAATTTCTTTCGCACCCCCACCCGGTCTCCAAACATCAAATAATTGTCCACAACGGTTTGTCGGTTGAAGAAGGGCCGTAGGTCAGCAGAGACCACCTTTTGGCCAACCTGTTTGCTCGGGATGCATCACTCTTTAGGGTTCTGTCTCGAGAAGTCTCCTCGCGAATATTGTCAGCTGTCACTGGTAAGCTGATATTATCGGTTAGAATTCACTGGACTTCTCATTCGCAGTAGGTATCTAAGATCACACAACCATCGTTCTCCTTTGGGTGCGAATTGTTGAAACGACACAGGGCATCCGCTTGGCTGATTTGTTGCGTAAGTCGATACTGTATACTGAAATCGTACGTCAACAGTATTGTCGCCCATCTGTAACTGATTCGGTTAAAACGGGAATTCCTTTATTTGAGCCGAATATCAACAGGAGGGTGAAATGTCTACCATAGAGCATCTTGTGGAATCGCTTCATGGTGAAAACGATTGCGAGTGCTTTCTTTTCAATCTAACTATAGTTCTCATCGCGTCTCCAGCGTTACTGTGCATGGAAACGGTGACATTGGCGTTGTCGATCCAGAAGCCTACGATGCAATATTTTCTTATTTTTGCCCTACTTATATTATAATGAGTAGCTAACCTTGATACTTTTACTTGCACGTCTGTAGCTGCTACACCTCGTTTGCTCTGTACCGCTCTGTACACTCCTTTCTGACACTAGTTGGTATACTTCGGTCTTACTTTTATTACAGTAATACCACTGTAACTTGACCACCCAGGGATCTTGGGCAATGTGACCAAACTAGAGGTGGTAAACATGCGGAGATTACCTACAACAATTTCACGTACCCCACTTTCCCTTTGTAAGCAGTATATTATGAAATCTTTCACATTACCCCGTTTATAAATAAATAGTTTGTTTCCTAACTCATCGAGCCACATTAAACGCGTTGTCTCGCAAGGGAAAACACAGTTCAACCGTACAGTGTCATTATAAATCAAAATGCAATGTGTATTTTGAAACTATATCATTTTTGAAAAAAAGTCAGTCAGTTTCTTTTCGCACAGTAATTAAAACAGCACTCTCAGCACAAGCTAGACTTTCAGCATGCTTTGAGATTTTTCCACTTAAATGATTTCTGTGCCATTAAAATTTGTCTGACTTCATTTTTGTTTGGTGTTTCTGTGTTTTCCGAATCTTCGTTACTCTGTCCATCTTCTTCTTTACCAGCATCTTCAGGTGTTTGTTTTTTTGGTTCTGTTGCGGAGTACCGCAGTCAGTATCTTGGAAAACAGCATCTGAATCGGATTCAGTGCAAGTTACAAAGTTACCATCCATTTCAACAAACACTTTAAACTCTATTCCGTCGAATTCTGTCGATGGAGACTAAACGAATCCGGCTATTCTGAAACCCTTCTATACCATTCTTGGTTGAACTTTAGACCTAGCGGAACTTATACCAAGAACAACATCCAAGGCATTAAATAAAGCAACGGATGAAATTCCTTCCACATGCGAATGAATAGTATACAATTTTGCTATAGACGGTTACATGAGCTTGGCTCGGTAGTGCATATTGAATATTTTGATGACCTATTGGTTCAGGGGTTACATTTGTGAGATTTTTTACATGTGTGTCTCTGGGATAGTTGTCCACTGTTAGGATAATGCAGCGTTTGTTCTTCAGCATTTCTTTGTCGATAATTCTGATCCACTCCTCAAATATGACATCAGTCTTCCACGCAGATCTGTTTGATCTCCAGATGACTGGAAGGGTTTCAGGATTTAGGTTTTTGAACGCACGTGGTCTAGCTGATTTACCAATGACCAGGGGGGTTAGCTTCTCCCCACTTGAGCTAACGCACAACAGAACTGTGAAACGTTCTTTGGGATGTTTTCCACTCTTACATTTGTCACTATTTAGATAAAGCTTATGTTACGCGTCGCATTGAAAAAGGGACCGCACTCGTCAGCGTTACAAATGTCGTCATTGTTGAAGTTAGAAAAATATTCGATAAAGTGTTAAACAAACCTCTTCAGGCACTTCATTGGATTCACCACAAAAAACTATGGGAAATCTCTTGTACGAGTTTAAATTTCTCTAGCCATGCCTGGAAATCTTCAACCCCAATTCTGGTGAGAATCTTTTAGCAATTTCTTGAATCATCGGCCCGGAAAGTCGAGCGTTAGCTGCCCTCATTTGCTTGAACCAGCGCGGCGAAGCCTCACTTACTTCACCATGTGAAGTTTTCCGCCTCTTCCGTTGTAGATGTCCTTACATTATTGTATCTGCAAGTAATCTTGTTTATGTCTTTTGATGTTGCTCACTGTTGTCATGCTAACAACCAAATGCTCTGTCGTCTTTATTTGGCTACTGCATTCAAGAAAATGCAGCAGACTAATCTTTTCCTTCAAAGTCAACTCCCTGTCTCTGTCTGTCTCTGAATTACTCGTAATGACTGATCCTAAATTGTTTAAGGCACGGAGTGGATCTAAAGTCTACGGATGTATTTAAGTAACCTTAATTACATACGATAACTAATCTCTTTGGTTTCACTCTCAGGTGAACACCAAATAGAGCCGGATAAACGCGCGACAATTAATGTGGACACAAATGTCAAGCTCACCACCAACCAAGGTGCTAATGAACTGGTGCTTAGACCTGGTGTTTAATCGAAGGCTTGGCACAGTAACGTTACAATCACTTTTGCCGCCCTGGGCGGTGAAAAAAATGTCTTCGTGACTGAGGGCACACGAAGGCCACCTAATCGGCTGAGGTTAAAGTGCACATTGGTTTTCGATGTAATGGATAATCGTTTGGGTCATTGAATTACATGTGGCGAAAGTGACCACAATGGAAAACGTAAGGTGATGGCTAGAACGAATGTTTACACGGATGTGACACGTGGACCAAATGTGACCTTGGTCACACAGAGTATCATTAAAATCTTCAACCCTCAGCTTGTCCGCATATTTCGCCCTTTACATATGGTATCGAACACACGACGGTACTGAAACTGCCGCCCGGGGCGGTTCGCCCCCCCCCCCCCTATACTACACCTCTGGTTTGACAGTCACTCAAACTCCTGATTACGGCCTGTGCGATGAGTGGACACATGTTCTTAGGGCTAGACGTAAGCTTGCCTGTGTATGTGGACAGGTAAGGGAGGTTGAACACCAATCGCAGGTCATTCAGTGGTCGCTCATCCGTGGGGACCCACATTGATTTAGGTAATACGCGTGTGCATCAACGCTGACGGCCGAGACAAATGCACACGCACACACACACGCACACACACACATACAGAGAGAGAGAGAGAACATGCTATATCATCAAACGTAAAATCCACTGATTTAGCGGTCAGAAGTCCAAACATTGCAGTCCAGCTGCACACGGCGTTATCAGAGCAAATGAGCCATTGGCTGGTAAGCCCTCAAGTGGTCAACTTATACAGGTTGAACGATTACTGACTGTCATAGCCAAAGTGATCAACATACAACTTACAGAGGGGTCACCACCTAGAAGACTGGTTCCTTAGGGTTTACATAGTGACCGTTCAAGCTATGAAAGTGGTCAACATAGGGATGTGGTCGGCATATGCAGGTGCTCAACTTTGGAGGTTTCACTATATCTTCAATTTAAAACGTATGTTTCGCTTTCATCTCATTGAAGTAAGCGGATTGGCAAATGTGATGTATCTCTTGCTGTTTTGCAAAATATCTGCACTGAGTTCCGGTGGTCATACTTCCCCCATTTGCGGACACCACTGTTTTACGTTTGTTTGCGTAGATCTACCATTTACTGACTTTCGTGATGTATTGATCGGCTATTGCCGAACAACCTCCTCATGGTGCCAGCTGGGTGGTTTGGGTTTACCCCGGCAGTGTTCGAGGATATGGTGGGTTTTCGCCTGGCAAGCGTTCTCCCTATAAAACGCCACAAATGTCCATTTAACAATACTATGACGTGACAGTTGTGACTCGTCACCAACCATAGTCACCCATTGCTTATCAGGACAACCGCTTCATGTCCATAGCCATCAAACATCCATTTAACACTGGCGACACGTTCAAGCACGATCAAATGGCAGAAAAAACATTTACAAATTCGCTAAACACGCCCATATGCACACTTAGATACATTCATCTATCAACATATGCAACAATCTCATTGTTCCATTGTACATTAACTGATCACATTTTGTACTCCTAACATGATCATGCCTGCGCATGCGTACCTCGCTTAGTCGAAACATTTTATTCATTTATTTACCACGCTACATACACATGGCCGTTAAACAGGTGCCAGACGATCGACAGTGTATTGTCGTCATCTTCGTCAGTAGCCCCCGCACTCCGTTATCCTAATCCATACGGATTGCTTACTTGATCTCAGCTACTAGTGCTATTCTGCAAGCTATCCGAAGTTATTCGAACGTGGGAGCCATCTCACCAATAAGGAAATTACCCGTTGGTGCCTCCATGGTTGCTTCGTTGCGCCTTCCTCCCAGCATCTGTCCTCCCACGGATTGACTTTTTTCTTGACACATAATGTGGCTCTCCTTTTTGTTAGTAGTTGCTGCACCTCTGTTGATGGTTAATTCTTCCTTTTTCATCCAGATCCAATTTGCCCTCTGCGGCGAACACAGAACGCGTGTTGGGTGACGAGATTGTCCCTTACCTCCCTCCATTACCTTATGTTGGGACTGGATATCATCGGTACGTGTTCGTACTTTACCAACAGAACAATGGCACCGTGAATTTAAACGACATGAAACCTGAATTGCCGTACGGGTAAGATTCTCCAGTTTTATCAGTATTTCCAATGAACTTTTGTTTTGATATCATTTCGCGTAATTTTTGGGATACCCACCTGTTCTGCGGATTTTTCGGGGATCTTTTCGCTCCAAAACGGTTTCTTAGGACCACTGTATCCACATGCTACACGTGTGTGTCTGTTGCTAAGGATTTTATTATGAACAACACTTTTGTGTTGCGATGGACAACAGAACTGTTCCAACCTTATCCGCTTTACCGGTTTTTCTTGAATGGACTGAATTCCTTGTCTATTGTTCACAAGCTACATGAGTTTGCGGATAACCTTAACAACCGAATTTTTCCCCGCTATATATTCTCGACCGGAAAATTACGCGACTGCCTTGTATTCTAGAGGTCGTCGGTTCGTATTCGCTTAGGTACAGGCAACATCTTGGGATACTCATTCCGGGCGTGACTGTTGGTGGTCACGCTGCAAGGAAGCGTCGGTACGGTACGGTATGCCGGCGTGTTGCTGCTGCCTTTCTTTCTTAGTGGTGATGTTATTAAAAACCACTCGTGTTCTCTGACGACGTTCATTCTCAGACTGGTATTGGGCTTCATAGAACGGTCTAAAAGCTTCTCATAAGCATCCATGATGGGTTGCAGCAGGAAAGATCTCTTCCAACCATCAACGAACCACATTGTTGCAACATCGGAATGATGCTAATGTTATGGCCTGAGTTGTTCGATTGGTTGCACTGGACCTGGATCTGCATGCATTGCGATAGTTTCACTTCATTCGAGTAAGAAAGATTTTTAGGCACATAGAACAACAAATAGTCCATTTGAAACAGTTAGTTCCCTTTAGTAATTTGAAAAGCACAGTAAGAAGACGAAGACTGACAAATGCATGCATTTCGTATTGTCTTATCAGTGCCTTTAACAATAACTCGCAATAATATTTATTCAGTGAAGGGTGCGATCAAACATACATGCAAACAGACACACACACGATAAGTGAGACAGGGTTATCACCCATATCCCCAGGACAGTCTAATGCTGACCGATAATTGTTTCTGAACACAAAGCAGCGGCTTAATCCGGTTAATTGCAATTGGCTCTGCGAAACGGAGGAGGCGGGAATCGATGTGCTGTAATAGGACCGTGAACGCCAAATTGACCTCGATACGGTGACCTGTGGTCAATAAGTGTCGGCCTATCGAAGAGGCTTACGCCTCTGGTAAACAGCGATTCCACATCTAAAGAGCACGTGACCTTGTCGGATACATTAAGTATATCGAGCTCGTCGATAAGCTCGAAAGAATCTTTGAGACTGTGATGGGCCCACTGCCGCAGCGGAGAAAGAATTTTCACCAGCCAGCGAGCCAGTTTATGTTGAGGCGCGTTTACCATCGATAACATCGGTCTGAGTGGCACACCCCACTCTTATGTACTTTCGGTAGCCCGTATAGCTGAGGCGTAGTGGAGCCGGTCGACTTTAAGCTGTCACACTTATCACTGTCGATCACACGATGTAGATGAAGCACACCTAAGTGACGAGTTATGCGAGAAATTAACAGCCACGATTAAACTTGCACAACAATCTGCCTCGAAGGGGAATCGAACGCCGGACATACGGATCACCGGTCCGCTGCTCTACCAACTGAGCTATCGAGGACTGACGATCAGGTGCGCAATTTAATACATGACTTCTGTTTGGTTCGCGACGTATTGTCAATAAGGTTACCGTATCTGTCCTGCTGTTGCAGATTGGCTCACTCACTTGTCACTTCCCAATGAACCGAAGTATCTGTCCTTCACGTGTTCAAAAGGCGATGGTAAATTTAGAGTATTGGTGGTTTTGTGAGTATGTAAATTTTGTAGAAACTTCCGGAATGAAGGAGCATGTACGTAAGTGGGTTCAACGTTAGACCGCGTAGAAAACTAGCCAGCGTCAAGCTGCTCGTCTGCGTAAGCCACCAGCCTCTTCGATTGGCCGACACTTATTGACCACTGGTCACCGTATCGAGGTCAATTTGGCGTTCACGGTCCTATTACAGCACATCGATTCCCGCCTCCTCCGTTTCGCAGAGCCAATTGCAATTAACCGGATTAAGCCGATGCTTTGTGTTCAGAAACCATTATCGGTCAGCATTAGACTGTCCTGGGGATATGGGTGATAACCCTGTCTCACTTATCGTGTGTGTGTCTGTTTGCATGTATGTTTGTTCGCACCCCTTCACTGAATAAATATTATTGCGAGTTGTTGTTGAAGGCACTGATAAGACAATACGAAATGTGTGCATTTGCCAGTCTTCATCTTCTTACTGCGCTTTTCAAATAGTCAGTTATTATACCTACGATTTCAGCATGGTAAAAATAGAAATAAAACTTACAACTGTGAATGCAAAGCTTGGTTATTTTATGAAATGGACAGCAATTTAGTGACACAGCAAGCTTGCTGGTAAACTCCAGAACGGCTAACATGTGGTTACACATAACGCACGCCGAATATGGAACGGCAGCTGAGTACTGCGCATGTGTACGCGCATCAGTGTCTGGTCGATGTACCTGATCCACAGTTACACAGTACACCATCAGGTAGGTAAGGTGCATTCGTGGGTATTTCTGAACCAAGCCTTTCGCATGAACTGGTGTGAGTATTTGGTCAAGTCGATACCTTTCCGGCGGGACCAGCTTCCTACTCTGGATAAGATTGAGTGATCAGATTCCAAAATATTGGAGATTGCTCACCAAGCTGCGTAGTAGCGAAACTCGTGTTACGCGAACTTTGAGTTAACCAGAATGGCTTACTTCTGGACTAAAAGAATACAATGTGGGTTCGAGCAGAATAGACAGTATTTCGTCAGTTGTGCTGATTAATAGACATTCGTTCATCATGGTATTTTTTTCTGATTTGCTGTTTGGATTAGGAGCGTTGCGAAGAACATGATTGCAATAACCGTAATCGCACCCGGTAGGCAGATGTTACTAACGAGTGGACACAGAAATGTCAACAGTGGGTGGCTGGAATGTCACAACATCGAAACGCTTACTTCAATGACCTATGTAAAACTTGAACATGTTTCATTAGGACTGTTTCTAGATATAGAAACAGTACCGCTCCTTGAAGGACTCCGGTTTTGTGATGAGCAGGTAGGAACTTTTTTACTACTGTCTCAGTACACCGCGCGGACGTAAAAGAAATCGGCCTCGTACTCTAACCCGATTTACTGACGCACCTCTCATCACACATTGTTGGGGGCATCCGGTTTCGGACTCGTCTGACACTGTGGCCAACCACAGGACGCCGGAGCCTACAGAGAGACCATGGGCGAATTGCGCTGCACCACACACAACTCCAACCACACACCCCATATCCAGTGTAAACCCGAAGGAATAAGAACGGGAGGTATGTGGATGGGAGTCACTTTTCATCAACGGAGCCGGGCCACACTCCTTCACAGGCAAACACAAGCACGCTTTATTTGGGAATCAAGCGTACACAAGGCAGTGACTGGACCGTAGTCTGCTCTACACTGGGTGCATAGAACCACTCTTTGATCCTAACACGGTCACAAGAACCGTGCACCATGTCCCTTCCACCAACGGCCAACTGTCTCCTGGAGCCACTATGGACGAAGTAGTGGCTTACAGACAGATTGGCACTTTGTCAATATGCACATCAAGCGCTGCCACACCGGGGAGCTCAAACGACATATACTTCTGAGATGCAAGAATACTCATCACGCGGGCAGACGTACCACATACGCCCCCTCATTGATCTGGATTAGTAAATCGAATGGGGGCGTACGCATCGTGCTTCTATTCCGCGTGCAATACTGCCTTCTCCTGCACCTGAGCAACCGTCCTCTTGATCGGATCACGGAATTCGCGCTGATCGATTTTACCTTTGGTTCGTAACACCTGAAATCAACTAGTTTGTCATATACTCACCTTTATGTCCTAGTACTGTTATTTTCGGTTTGTCGGAGTACCGCGTCCCTGCACTAAGTTGGCTGTATAAAAGCCATATGAGTATCCTCGTCAAATTCATTCGGTATACATATATACATGGATTGGAAGTTCGAATAGAACATATGTACATGCGCTTTTGCAGACTTAGGTGTGAACTACCACAAACTGGATGGACAGATTAGACCTCATGAACTATAGTGCTAACAACGTGTATGGGTATCGTTTGGAGATCAGGCCGACAGCCATTTGCACAGGCATTCGAATAAGTATCCAGGACGAACTATTGGTGTTTTCTTTAACATTTAGACGTCACAGCCTTAAATCTTGGGCATCCAAATTTGAACGAAACTGATATAGGAGTAGGGACGCAACTGCCATCAGTACGATTACCAGATAGAATGATAAATAAACAAGTGGTACAGTAATATTGTGTACTTAGGTGTTGCCGCCTATCTGAACAGTCTACTTTGTTTAGCTGATGGGGGATATCGCACGGTGTGCGAATGCGGTGGGGTTCACTTCAAGCTCTCCGTGTCGCCGATCCGTCGGATCATCTGCTGCCCGAGGTACGATTTTTGCGGAACCTTAAGCATTGATAGTTGTCAGTACCATATATTCGCTGCTTACGACCTCATTGGAGAGATAATTACCGCCATTCTACATCAACTAAGTCCCGCTGCTCACTGTCAAACATGCGGCTTTCTAAATAGTGTGCGCATTGTTTTGCAAATGTTCAAGATGTAGCATGGCTGTCATCCAAGTAATGAACAGTTTGTACATATCGCTGTGTACTCTGCTGTGGCCATAAGATATTTTTTGTAACGATCTCCATCGTACTTCTGGGGTACAGCCATTCAGTACTCCTAAAACGATTGTCGCTATGTGTCGATTCCTTTCCGACGTTATATACTTAGACACTGACGTACCATTACCGCTGGCATTATCTTCTTAGTCTACCCAGAAGATTGTCCATGTCCAATTCAACTTCTGGTAAGCGTCTCTGCGCTTCCGTCTTCAATCCGCTTGCTACTTGCGGTTTCCTAAACGCCGATAAATTC